ATAGTATTTTCGATGATTGCACCCCATTGTTTTACATGTTGTGAAATAACAAGATTTTTTGCATAATAAGATCTTATGTGATAAATTTGAAGGACATTATCAAGTCATTTCGTTTAGACTTTTTGAATACAGGTACACATCAGCAACTCTGACATAATGGCTGGATATGATGGGATAGTGACGCTTTACTACAATATTTGTTGAACTTAGAAAAGATTTGTGTTCAATATTCTGATTTATTAACTTCGTATCTTAAATAATACTGCACCTGATGTTTGATTGTTATGTCTGTAATATGTTTAAGAAAGATAACGGATCCTCACACTAACTTCCTGATGTTCACATCAGACACAACGTGCAGATGGTTTAGAATTTAGTGCACAAGTATTCGTTCCATCTGACTTCATTATGTCGACTGCGCTATAACATGCACCCGGAGTTGAATTTTTGTTATCGCAGGGCCACGGTTTGTGTGTTCGAATCCAGATTTACTCGGTTTATGATCCTTGGTCTGTTGAACGCTGGGTAGATTAGGTCCCCAGATTCCACTGCCGGTAAAACCGCCTTCGTGGTGTTGTGGACAGCAAAGGTCGGTGGTTCGAACCCCGGTCGCGTCATTCAAAAATACTTAAAAAATGTTGTACTTGTTGTTACGATGCCTGGCGCGCGGCATTAAGGGGATACATCAAGAACTGTTGGTCAGTGTAGTGTGTCTGAGTGGCATGGTGTCTCAGTGGGATAGCACAATAACACCGGCATAAGTCCGAAGTAGGTACAACCTCTCTCTCTCTCTCTCACTTTCTTTTTATCGCTCTCTCTTTATCTCTCTCTCTCTTTATCGCTCTCTCTCTTTATCTCTCTTTTTATCGCTCTCTTTATCTCTCTCTTTATCTCTCTCTCTCTTTATCTCTCTCTCTTTATCGCTCTCTTTATCTCTCTCTTTATCGATCTCTCTCTTTATCGCTCGCTCTCTTAATCGCTCTCTCTCTCTTTATCTCTCTCTTTTTATCGCTCTCTTTATCTCTCTGTTTATCGCTCTCTCTTTATCGCTCTCTTTCTCTTTATCTCTCTCTTTTTATCACTCTCTTTATCTCTCTCTTTATCGATCTCTCTTTATCGCTCTCTCTTTATCGCTCTCTTTCTCTTTATCTCTCTCTTTTTATCGCTTTCTTTATCTCTCTCTTTATCGCTCTCTCTCTTTTTATCGCTCTCTCTTTATCGCCCTCTCTCTCTTTATCATTCTCTTTCTCTCTCTCTCTCTTTCTCTCTATCTCTCTTTATCACTTTCTTTCTCTATTTCTCTGTCTCCCTCTCTTCTGTGGCGTTAAACAACATTCACCCCCACTTCGTGCGGACCTCTGTCATATAACTGAAATACTGTTCAAACTAACAAGGCCATTTTTTAATGTTACCAGCATTTCAAGTCGGGGCCGCCAACACAGCCGATGAAACAAGAGAGGGAAGGTGTTCTTATTGGACTGGCGTCATCTGCGGAATACCAAAGGACCATTGGGCGGCGGATGAGATCCAGGACATTGATGATGACCATAAGCGCCACTTCCTGAAAGACAGATCGAAATGGAGGCTGATTTTAAACTTTAATGCTGGGCTCGGATTGGTTGTTATGGCTTTCATGTATGGCTATTTCAAATAAAGCAGCACATACTGTTGTCCACTAGAAATTGCTTGCTGATTGGCTAATTCACGTCTATCGTTCCACACACTCCTTTCTTTTGATCAATCTCGCTCCATATCGCACCACATTGTCTATTCAAAACTATGTCCGTCCTTCTTTTCCTGGTTGAAGACTTCACACACTAATGAGATAAACACATGTTACAAAATGCTCAGCTTTCATCGAGACACGTTGGGGGGGGGGGGGGGGGGGGGGGGGGGGGGGGCAGTCGTCTAAGGCGCCGCGATTCGCTGTGTGCAGAGTTGCGTCCCTTGGGCACGCCAGAAACCTATGATTGTGAGTTCGAATCCCGGTTCACCCCGATTATGTTTCTAGGTTTGTCAGCACCATACCCGTGCTCGTTGGTTTCATCGAAGTGGTAAACGTCTCAGACTAGCATCACTTCGGGCTTTCCTCCCACATTAAGCTGACACGCCGTGATATGACTGGAATACTGTTAAAAGCGGCGTTAAACCCAACTCACTCACTCACTCATCGAGACACGTGGCCAACTTTTCCAGTACGTGTTTATCCTTTGTTCTACGTGCAGAAATCACAGCTCTATGGATAGCTAGTTTTAACTAATTTCAGTTTCAGAAAATACACTAAGAAGCCAATAAGTAAAGGACCCAAACATAAAACGCTTTATAATTCTTTTTTGAAAGAAACAATACACTTTATATTTTATAGAAATATCATTCGAATCCTCAAACAAAGTCTTATTAAAGTCAAGAAGCAGAGTTATTAAAGCGTTCAATGCCGAAATCGAATGTTAAGGGTGTGGTTGTTTGTTCTCCCTGAAGAATATTTGTAAAGCATACGTCTGTCCACAGTAGTGTTATTAATGTCTAGTATAAATGTACATAGAAATGGCAAATTCTACTTTATCCAAAGGGTGTATGTCTGTGTAAAAATTGTGATTGTATCATTGAGGTCAGTCTTTGGCCTGTTCGACACGCCTTGGGCCCCGTTCCACAAATACATCTTAACGCTACGATAGTCGTAAGTCTGTGTTAAGGTACGGGAGTTATGATCGTCTTAGCACTGAGATAGATTTGTTGATAGAGTTTCAAAGAATATATCTGATATAAAAAGCACTAGGATGAGATTCTATTTAACGACAAAATAAACGCAACACTAAATGGTCGGGGCATAATTCGTGTCAGACTCACGATTGTAACGAACCTCTCCTCTTGACACTGTTAGTTATCAGGATAACTCCTTAACCTGTATCTCGGTTAATTGTCGCATATGTCAACCGATTTCTCGTTCTTTGGCAAGGGAGATCAGATTACACTTAACGTCAGTTTGACAATGAAATCAATTGGTTTCCCACACTGTAAAATCTACACAACAGAAAAACATGGCAACACGCGATTGGAAGAAAGAGCACCAAGTAAACAGAAGTTAATTATGAATATATTTAACATGGTTTCATATAACAGTTATCAATAGAACGTGCATGAACAAAATACACGACTTGCTCCTCAAACTCGGCCCAGTATGACAGCGACAGACATAATCCACATTTGGTACTATTATCTGTGATTAGTTAGGATTTGAGTTACTCGCGATCGCTGCGGTAATCTCTTGGTCGGAAACCTAGGATAATGTCATCCCTCGCGTTATTACTTCTGTCGTTAATTAGTACCAGGATACCAAATTTGTTGCAAGGATCATTGCTTGGCGTCGGTCGGCATTTATAAGCAAATGGTCTACATTCATGTTGTGTTCAGACAGAAACAAAGCAATTTGGCATTGTGTTTCCAATATCTCTGAAGGACAAATGTAATGAGATAGGACTCATTTATTCATTCATACGTCTCTTGCTCAAATGTTGTGTGATCAGGGTTACAACATTGAAAGCCCCTGCAAAGCTTCAAAACTTTTTACGTTAGGCACGTAGGCAAATTTGAAGCATCTGTGACAAAATGATGTCCGATGCAGTTCCCTTTTACTATATGTTCCTGTGTATATTTATAGGAACAATTGACTTGCCTTTGCATGCGTTTGTTACGGGGGCAACCAGGGTGGAAGGATACGGTCCTCGTTTTGCGAACACCTGCTGTCATCACAATGTGATAGTGATTTATTTTCCTCAGAACGTTCACTCTCTGCGAATACTTCCATCAGATGAACCCTGTCTTTGACCCCAAGCTAAAAAAGAAGGCTGCGTGGGCTCTTAAGCCCATTAGCTGTAAGCTTTCTAAAACGATTCGTATTCATTTTTTTGCCGCCTTGATTCGGAAACCTCACACAGAGCACAAACTTTGGGTGAAGATGCAATGGCGCTCAAAAAAGGGAGGGTGCATGAAATAATCCAAATGTTCTGACGCCTCTGTACTTTCTACTACTGACTGCGTCCAGCACGTGCATATACGATTTCCTGTGCGGGGTTGCAAAAGGCGTCAGGACCCGTGAAGATCGGGGAAAAATAGGTCTTCACCAACCCATGCTTGCTGTAAAAGGCGACTATGCTTGTCGTAACCCGCCTAACGGGATCGGATGGTCAGGCTCGCTGACTTGGTTGATGCATGTCATCATATCCCTATTGCGTGGATCGATGCTTACGATGTCAATCACACGATTGTCTGGTCTAGACTCGAATTTTTACAGACCGCTGTCATTAGACATACAAATTATCATAAAATGATGTCTTTGAAAGGCATTTAAAAGTGATACACAACAGGAAGAGAATATATGGATGTCAACTTTTTTACTATGAAAAACACAACGTTTCGGTGCATATTCATTCACCTGATGAAGGAGTAAGCATATACTCCGAAACGTTGTGTCCCTCATAATAAAGAAGTTGACATCCATATATTCTCTTCCTTATCATGAAATGATGTATTTTCCTCACAATCTGTTCATATTAATTGTGAATATGTGTATATATGCATAAGACAAGAGCCGATCTGATGCCCTTCGCTATGCAGGATTATAAAATAAAAAAATTGTTTGTGTTTCCGTACTTATGTTGAAATGAGATAAGGGTTCAACTTTCCTGCCTTTTCATGTCAAATGTTAAGCGTTTCACATCACCTTCCACCGATTTCGAGCCCATTTCTGGTTTCCCCCGCCGTGATATTGCTGGAATATTGCTAAAAGCGGCGTAAAACCATACCCACTCACTCACTACAGTCGATTCCGTTTTTTTGCAGAGATTTCCTCTGACTGTGGCAAGGACTTTGTCGCTTTTAGTTATTTTATAACGTCCTCATACTAGGTAATCTGTCATGTTGTCATGGCAATAACGTGACTTTGCCCAATCAATAAAACGTGTTGCTTGTATCAGATGCATATACACACAACAAAAAACGTGAACCTTTGATATAGTTTATCGTTTTATTCCCGTGTTACAGTGTCTGACCAAACAGACCCCAGACGACTGTATGGAGGCCCAGGAGGGACACGCTGACCAGGTGCATGCAGGCGCCACTCCGGGGTGTAGGAACGGGTGTAGAAACGGGTGTAAGAACGGGCACCATGAGACACGTGCAGTTGTTGGCGCCCAGCGGGTACACGGGTGCATCAGCACATTGCTGGCAGCAGACCGTCACTCCGTTCAGTGAGTTGGTACGCTGGCACGAATCACACTGAGTTTGTCGCCAGCAGGGGACATGGTGCCCTGGAAATAGCAGGAATTCCACTGCTAAAATACTAGTATATGTTTAGATCCTATAAACTACTTTAGTGGCTTGAACATGTTGAACAATTTGTTTAAAATCTAAACAAGTTCGGATCTAAGTAAACATTTTCAAAATGTTTTCAAGATGGCCATATTTAGAATAAATTCCAATCGCACAGTGCTGCTTTGCGGTGTCAATTAGTAAACACATAGCTTTTTATTCAACAGTGGCTGATGCTAGGTAGGGCAGGACATGTTTAACCGTTTCGTGAACACCTGGTGTTATCATTCATTTTCAGTGATCCTATATTTTTTACCGCTGTTTTATCTGTTATGGTCAATGTAAACTGTTTCGTCGCATAATCGAGTCTGCTTATTACCTGATTTTTTATTTACTGAAATACTGTTCAAAGTGGTGTTAGCCAAACTCTCTCACTCACCAACTCAAGGACCTTCATGAATTTGACACAAGTGATACGACACCCATCTACTCTAAACATTGTAACGTACTTCCTGTTGCCTCGCGAGATGGACTGATACTATTGAATTTTATTACCAAGTCAGTTCAGACCATGAATATGAGTTGGGAATATGCTTAGATGTTAAACACATTGCTAAACGTGTTTAGGACACACAAATTGAAATCCTAGATCATTTCATGGTTTTGTTTCTTTCAGGATTAAAACAGAACCCTTAAAACGTTTAGAGTTCAATATATTTAGTTCGTATTTTATCCCTAAAAACATTTTTACAGTGTATCCGGGGAAGTTTAAATGTACGCTGACTCATGCTGACATTCCTTCACCTGAGACAGATGTTGCTCAAATCGAAATCATTTACCAACGTATACAGAAGTTTGACTTACCTTCATCTCCAAGTGTTTGTGTGTATGTACGAGTGTTAGGTCACCTGACCGCGACATTGACGTTCATAAGTGTATGAACGACACAATTTGATGTTCATACGTTTTTCACGTGACCATGTTCTTGAAATGACGTAAACACCGACGGACTACTTCCACATTCCTGGGGAAACCCCTGGGAATTCCCCAGCACGAATACATACAGAAGCGTTCTTTCTGATCATTTAGACCCTTTAATCTTGAACTCAGCGTTTTACAATACATTGAGAAATGTCCGAGTTTGACTGCACGATCGTTCACGAATATTCTCGCTACGACCATCCTAGTGAACAAAACGAAGAAATACACTTCCAAACTGTGGTAGTATCGACTCGATCTGTGTCTAGACTGGCAGTGACTGTCTCCAGTAATCTATGACTTTACCTTAGTGTCTATTAGACACATCTTTAATCACCTTTCAATGATCGGCCAATTGATCAATGATGACTAAACCATATAACCGCCATGGGTTCATTAACAACTCCCGAAAACTCTCCCGTCACGTTTATGGTGTCTGCCATTTTGTACTTAATATTAATGTAAGTGTACGACGACGCGCTGTCATCGTGACTGACTTACTGAGGTTGTTCTTAACAGACCTTTCTAATCTAATGGTGATATTATTTGAATACATGTGTTGCGTAAGATAGTTTCTGAAGAGCAAGTTGTGTATCCATACGCTCATGTCACCTCTCTTTTTGAGGAACTATTTTACTCCGCGATATAGCTGGTTGTTGTATGGCCGTCAGTGTAAACATGAAGTCACACGTACTAAATAAAATTGTGTTTAGATCTAGGCCTACATCCTTTGAGGTAAGAACTTGTGATAAAAATTATAAGAACTGACCTTCACTTTGTGTGAGTTCATTGGAGTATGAACCTTCATAGAGTAAGGGCCAAACAATAGATGACGTCATACAATAAATGATGTCATAATACAATGGATGACGTCATACAATAAATGATGTCATAATACAATGGATGACGCCTTATGCGTCCATAAGATCTTGATCCCTTTCGGAATGTTGCTCAAGAAAGTGTTCTATAATAATAACATAGATAGCCACATTAAAGTAAACTTCAGTAATTGCTTCTGAATAGATGATATGTATAGTAAATTGAATCAAGTGATGCTTACTGTCTTGTCCGTCAGCGGTCATCCCGGAGAGAGCCAGAATGGCGAATAACACAGCTGCGGGGGACATGTTCAGGGTTTGAGGAGACAAGTACACACGGAGAATGTTGAATCAGCTCTTCTTCTGTCCAACAAGGGCTAAACATTAACAGAAAAAAGTAGGTACTCACAACGCAATGGACAGGTGCATCATGGTCTGAACTGGTTGCTTTGGGGTATTTTGTAAAATGTGTTTGCAAAAAATATTTATAACTAAATATAAGATCATACATACATTAGTATACAGATTATCATACACCCATGTCAGAATGATGAGAATGATGAGATCTGATAAAACACTGTGTAACCCGCATTGGAGGGTAATACATTTCTCAGCGGGGGAATAAATCCCTTATACCCCGCCACGAGCAATATAGGCTGCACGTTCATTTCTGAGAGACAGAATAAATCCTTTATACCCCGCTTCAAAGCAAAACTTTTTCGAGTCTATGGAAGTCACGTGACATAGCGCAAGCTAATCCCAGCTCAATCGAGCAGCTGTTTCCTATCAATTTTGAATTTATTTGAATTATTTTACAGTGTCATATTAAAACATGTGGGTAAGATAAATTCGTTGTAGCAGGATCACTCGGGGTACCTGGGGTTTAATACGTCTTCAGTAGGTTTTATACCACTCGCCTCCGTGATCCTGCATTTCTGTTGTGAATTTCATTTACCATTTAAATAACCACAATGCTCTTCACATAGTCCCTTCTTCATATTCGGGGATAAATCATTTTAAATATTTAAGTAAATCGATTAATACACACTTTTCACAACTTCGCTGTCAACGTCCAATCACAGATAGTTACATATCTTCACGTTGTTAAAACAGTAATATACATTGAATAGCTACAAAGATGCTCAGTACTGTAGAATCTGCCGAATCAGATTAAAGATAGTGCCACAATACTGTAGCCTACTTGGATATGAAGTCATCAGTTAAAAATGTCAACAAATTCAGACATTATATGAACGTTTATGTCAGCGTTGTTATCGAGAATCTCACCCGAGTGTCTTTTGATGTCAAATCTATCAACACGAGTTGATAAAACTGGAAAACCTCCGAGGCTTGGCAAGGTGTTTTTTTTAACTTTTATCAACGAGTGTTGATATATACTCTTCAAAAGAAAAGAAACAATACGGATATTTTTGGCCATAAAGCCAAAGATTAGCGGACCAAGAGGTGCAACATGAAGACTGAGGTTTTATGTGTTATAGTGTCAGTGACAAATGTCCCCGATCAAAATGATCACAACAAGGACATGCAAACCATTAGTCGGGAAACACGTACGATTCGGAAAAACGCACCCAGTGCATCAACAAAAGGGCCATGGAGCTCCACGTACTGCACGTGCAGCAGCACTATGAACGGTATTAAAGTGCAGGTTTTTTATTGCCTGGCATCTGCGTCAGTCGAACAGTCACAGTTCAACAACATGCCAAGATTCACAGCAGTGCAAAGAAACAGCCTGATAGGTCGCTTGCAGGCTGGGGAATCACGATCAGCTGTAGCCAGGGTTTTCAATGTAGCGCCCAGGACAATCACACGACTATGGGATTGGTTTCAACAGCATGGGTTAACACGTGATCGGCCAAGCTCGGGACGACCAAGAGTAACCACCCCGCCCAAGATCGCTACATCCGACTGCGCCACCATCGTAAAAGGACGACCACAGCCACCTCAACCGCATCACAAATACCCGGACTGCGCAGAATCTCCAACCAGACCATACGAAACCGTTTAAGAGCTTCAGGTCTATGAGCAAGACGTCCTCCGTCGAGGGGATGGAAGAGCAGGGTCTACAGACGTCGGGGAGAACGTTACGCCGGAAACTGCGTACAAGAAGTAGACAGGTTTGGTGGTGGTAGCGTTATGATGTGGGTGGCTATCTCTCATAATGGCATTACAGGTTTGGTCCATATCCAGGGCAATCTACCGGCTCAACGATCCATCAACGAAATTCTCCTACCACACGTCCTCCCAATTTCAACCATCGCCAACGGTGTATTCCAGCTGGACACCGCCCGACCGCATACAGCACGGATCACAAGAGCCTGTCTACACAACAAAAACGTTGATATTCTCCTCTGGCCCCCCAGATCCCCAGATTTGAACCCGACAGAGCACCCATGGGATGAATTGGATAGACGGCTACGTTGACGTCAACCACAATCCAAGACGTTGCAGCAGTTGGCCTTTGCGTTGCAGGCCGAGTGGGCTACCATTCCCCAGGATGTGATTCGCAAACTCGTCTCTTCAATGGGCAGGGGATGTAAACGATTCGATTCCAACGTGGGACATACGCGTTATTGATGGTAGCTGACCTTGACCTTGGACGTTTCCTATGTACTGATAACTGAGATGACTGCAATCACCAAGTGTTTTCTCCACAACATTTGGGTTCAATGCCTTGTACGTTCCTCGTATAAAAGTAATTTCCTACCTCACACAAATCATCTGGCTTTGCGTTTCTTCTTTTGAAGAGTATAATATCAACTCTGGTGTCTACATTTCCCCTTTATGCCGAACAATATACAACCAGCTCCAACTTCTGGTGTCTACATTCCCGCTATCACCGAAGTGGTAAACGTCTGAGACCTGCACCACTTCAGACTTCCCTCTCACATTAAGCTGACAAGCCGTGATATAACTGGAATTCTGTTAAAAACGGCGTTAAACCCAACTCACTCACTCACTCAATCTCATGAGGCAACAATGTTCAGTCAGATGAATGAATTTTAAGCGATTATAGGAACATGGTCTAAACACAAAGATCAACATTTAATGTATCGCGAAAACTGAGGCTACTAACTACACGTATACGAAGTTTAATTACATTTTGGAAGCAGAGAATAAGGGATATAAGAAGTTTCACTCTTAAGTACGGTCAAAGTTCAGAGGTAACATCGAGGTCGAAATTTAAAATATCGTACAAAAACGGAAAATGTACAGTGAGCTTAACAACAAACTATACATTAAACCAAATGTCATGAAACATTCCATGAAAAGTCTAACACAAACATAGAGTAATGGCCATAAATAGCGGTTTCAATATGGTTACCTTGTACAAATTGGGTTGTCATCACTTGTGTGAAGAAGAATGTGAGAAACTATAAACAACGGGCGAAGGACAAACAGTCCATGACTTAAGCTCTCTAGGCGCTCAGTCAGGTGAGCTAATACTGCACCAGGTGAGGTTATACTGCACCAGGTGAGCTAATACTGCCCCAGGTGAGCTAATACTGCACCAGGTGAGCTAATACTGCACCAGGTGAGCTAATACTGCACCAGGTGAGCTAATACTGCACCAGGTGAGCTAATGCTGTACAAGAGGAGCACCGGAACAATGCCACGTTACTGGTCCCAACTGTTTCGTTTGTCCTTATCGACCAGTGAAGTTCCGGGGTAGAATACACTACATTTCATAAGTAACTTCCCCTATTTTCGCGAAAATTTTCTCGCCACTATTGCGGCACTAACGCGGAATTATCGCGCCACCTTTGAGCCATTAACGCGAAACTATTGCGCCACTTTCGAGACACTTTCGCGCCATTTTCGCGATAACATTTTACAAGATCGCGGCACTTTCGCGGCACTTTCACGGCACTATCGCGCCACTTTCACGCCACTATCGCGACACTTTCGAGACAGAATATTCACGCTATCTTGTGACAGTTGTGCTAAATGTACGGTACAATATATTGTATTACTTTTTTCCTTGACTGATTTTGAGTTACGTTTTCCATGGCATGCTACTCTGCATTATTTAAGATCATAGTGTAAAGCTTCTTTTCCTTTTACCATTACCGATATCTATACTTTATTTAGACTGCAAATGTAAGGTGATCTTGTGGTCATGACTCCAATCACAAATACATGTACTCGTACACACATTAGCTGAGGTGATTTTCACGGCAACAAATAAGATAGAACAGAATCAAACACTATCATGTGTCGGCCAAAATGACCGTCAGGAAACCTCATAACCAACTAATGTTTTGTGCATGTCTAGTATCCCATAAGGTTTCGTGATAAGTTTCATTCTGAATATAATGTGAAATAGTCTGGACAAAATCGTTTGGTTATTAAAGATTTTCTTATGGTAAACGAAGTCCTTCACAAATATTACGTCGTTAGGTATTTGTATTACACAGTGACTTGTTCTTTATTTGTGGACGACTATTAACATTGTAAAAGAATACGCTTTTTATTGGAAACAAAATAAACAAAACCATTTCCATAATTTACTTCTTTTCCATTCCATTCCGACTATATCATAAGCATGTGTTAATGAATCATACTCATGAATCAGGTTAGAGCGTATCCACCACAAACACATGCAAATGCAAGTCAGGTATTTGCAAGTCAAAGACATACATGTGCAGTTACCACATTGAAATAACACAACTTTATACGAAGCTTCTGAATTAAACTTAGGGAAGAGCTGGTTTCGTGTTTTAGAGGAAGACACTAGAATACACATGTATGTATTTACATAGACTTATCAGGCTGATTATAACTAGATTTGATTGGGAAATTTTAATCAATTTTTTTTTCAAGTACATTTCTTAGAATTGATGAGAGAATGTAAATCTTCCATGAACTGCTATTTGAGCGTCTTCAGGATTTATAACTGGTGCCCCGATTTTGATTTCAGTAGGGGGCACGGGTGGCCGAGTCGTCTTAGGCATTGCGATTCGCTGTGCATAGTTGCGTCCCTTGGGCACGCCAGAAACCTATGATTGTGGGTTCGAAACCCGGTTCGCCGCAATTAAGTTTCTAGGTTTGTCAGCACCATACCCGTGCTCGTGGGGTTCACCGAAATGGTAAACGTCTGAGACCTGCATCACTTCTGGCTTTCCTCCCACATTAAGCTGACACGCCGTGATATAACTTGAATACTGTTAAATGGGCAATTACCTAAAGCAATTCCCCGAGAGTTGTTGCCTTTGTTATTGTTTTTCCTCGTGAGTACCCGGATGATATAGCAGAGATCTAGACTAGTTCGCGGCCTGTGCTGCGCCATTCGTAAGCGCAGTTGTCACTTTAATTGACAGTATAAGGGCGTATGGTCACATTTATCAACAAAATGAAATACAGTTTTGGAAATAATAAGGAAATG